CGTGGTCACGTTTGCCGTTTGCGGGGAGAAAAAAAGTCAATCTAAAACTCTCTAATAACTATATATTGACCTCGCATTTATAATGAGGATAATAACAAAAATAAAGCCTTGTGAATAACAAAGAAAACCGTGTCAATTGAGAAATACACTCAATAATGGTCCTCGTTTTTTATAACTATTCTAAACGGCAGGCAGCCACAGGGAACCCGGCTACAGATCGTAAGTCAAGTATATATCACAGAGTAACTTCTTTCTTTCTTAGACGGGTTTCCTGTTGTCCTTACTCTATGACGTGCGCGTGCGTAACAAGATCATGATGCAATAGCGTAGCTCCCACAATTATGTCATAAATAACCTGATTGATCTTTAAACGCACTCATTTAGTAACAAGAACATGCGTAATAGGTAAATTACGAGCCTTATATGAAACGACTGAAGAAGAGGGTAAATGGGCCTTTCACAACTTCAAGTCGCATAAATGAGCTGTTTCGACCTGTATTGGGCCTCGCTAGCACGGTGTATCTAGTGAGCTGGTAGAATACAGGCCGAATCAGCTGTCCACGGTTCTAAGTTGAGTTTCTTAAGTCGTTTCATATAAGAGGAATATAAGGCTCGTAAAGGCGCTGAATTACGAGACACAAAAATCTAATGTTGCAAGTTGGGACTTTCACGGCGATATTCTGCACGCTCATTGGCTACAAGCTACCTAATTCAAGATGGCGTTCGCTTCTGCACATAAAATGTTGCGTGACAAGTTGGACGAGTGATGAAAAACGAGCAACAAATCGCAAATTTGTTGTTGAAAGTTAATCTACGTTCTACTTTTTCGCAACAAGTTTTCCCACAACTTTCTGCAAAAGATTTTGTTGCGTGACAAGTTGGATAGATAGGGTGTAAAACGAGCAACATTGTTTTCGAACTTGCACCGCAACAATRTTGCGCGACAAGTTGGACGTTTTTGTGTCTCGTATTTCAGCGCCTTAATTTACCTATTACGCATGTTCTTATACGATTTCCGAGCCCATCCCACACGGCTTACCGCCTCAATTCTCATTTAGTAACAGTCAAGACAGTTACTTTAATTTTAATCCACTATCTGTTTACATGATGATTGTCCTGTGACGTGTCGTCCAGCAAAGGCACAGGTAACCCATATCAGAAAGACAGATTGTTTACTCTGTACGATTGTGTTCACATGGGCTTCGGGTGACAAGGCAGAAAAACGATAAGCCCGCTACTTTCACGATTTTTTTATTTAACTGAGTTTAATACTCCAAATTTTTAAGCGTTTCATTCGCGTCACTGCTGCTCGAAACATGTGACGAAATTTTGTCGAATAAGAGTAAATCTACTTATTGATGGATTGCAAGCATTCCCAAGAGAGTTAAAAGACAAAACCATGGCGGCCATTGTGGTACCGTTAACAATGGATGCTAATGAGAAATCTTTTGTTAAATGGTACCAACATGRCCGCGATGACGTAACGTGCAGTCGAAGAATTATAGTATTCACAAAAATGTTAGTTTTTCTGCTGATCAAAATATCACCTCTCACAAAGTACACGGTCTTATATCTCAAATACGCATTCAATAAATTTTGGTCGCATTTGATATTTCGCTATTTGGCTCCAAAAGGACGTATTTACAAAACATAGAAATATAGATAAGTTATAGTGCTTAGGAACGAGGTTATTTCGGGCGAAAGCCCTTGGCYTCTAGTTCAGCTGGTAGAGCATCGGTAGTACAATTCCGAAGGTCGTGGGTTCGATTCCCAGCGAGGTCGGAAATTAATTTTTCCGAATTTAATTCCAATGGCTTTCGACCGGAATAACCTCGTTCCTAAGCACTATAACTTATCTATATTTCTGTAACTTCATGTATTTCATAAGTGCTACGCGGTCCACATATTCTCATGTTTACAAAATATTGAGCTTAAATACGTACGCTGTCCTTATGGCGAAAGGCCAAAAACCGTTTTTCTGCCCTGTCGCTTCGGGCCGGGTTCTCCGTATCCTATCAATTATCATCTTCTCACAAAGGAACTTCAATTACCGGTTAAATGTTTGGCTCTCATAGTAAAAAGGAGCCTCGGGGTCACAGTAATCAAAAAGCAGCTCAACTCCTCTCGCTAAAGCGGTCTTCGCCACAAGAACCACTCTTGGGCTGTCAGTCTCAGCATCAATACAAACCATTTTTAAATTACTATTTCGTAACGAATGGTTTATCCTGGCT